AAAATGTAATATCCTAGTCTCTACTTCACATTTAAATTATTGATAGGTATTTTAAAGATTTGAGATTGTATACCTATTTGCTGCAAGAAAGTATTCGTTAATTATGTATTATTATTTGTGTTTATTTTTATCTAATAATATTTATTTAAGTTATTAATAAACATATTTTAAGAATGTTCTATTTTATTATTTATTGATATATCTTATATTTATTTAATAATAATATGCAGAACCAACTCTCCACATCAGACCCCTGCTTATAACAAATTAATTCCTCAAATTTGGTATAATCGACCTTGTAAAATAAAAGTTTCGAACTTACTAGTTCCATACTTTATTTTATAAAATAATTTATGTGGAAATCATTTAAAATTTAATTTAAAACTACTACCTACTCCTAAAAATTACAATTTGAATTTATCGCCATCTGTCAATTGTCATTTTAGTTCCAGCTCCAAACACAAGGTGGCGCTAATTTGGTTTAAAAGTTTAACATTGGCGTGGGGTCTCTAGAAGATACGTGCTTTGTGGTTATACCTGACCCAGGGCTGCCGTTTCAGTACAATTGTACTAAATTTAGTACATTGCTTCGTATTTCTCACGGCAAAGTACAAAAGTACATTTTAAGTCAAATCAGGGAGAATTTAGTACAATTTGAAATAGTGATCATCTTTATGGCACCATCTATGATGGAAAGCTTAAGTTTCCCGATATAAGGGTAAGTATTGTAAATATTGGCGGTATTTCTCCTAAAGAAAAGGGATTATTTTACATAAGGTCTATTCCAATAACGATCAGATACCAATGAACTGGAGTGAGGTAGAAAGCTAATGTGCATATTGTATCAATTGAACAAGATGCGACTCTATGGGCGCAGCCATTTTTATTTCTCATCTCACTCGGGAGTATTTATAATAACCATTTTCTGTTTCACATTGTTATTGTTCAATCCACAGGCTGGTGGATCAGACAATAACGTGTTGCCTACATCTTGGCGCAATATTTTTAATAGGTGCGTTTTAATCATCCGCTTCTGCTTCGGAATTGTCGGTTTTCTTGTTTTAATCTGACAGGTTAAAACGACTAAACCGACAATTCCGGAAGCAAAAGCAAATGATTAAAACGCACCTGATATTTTGCTTGCTGCTGTCAGTGTCAGTGAATATTATTTTTGGAGTCCCAGTTTATTTCTAAAGAATCAGTTAGCTCACTCGGACCAGTTGAAAGTTCCAAAATAACATCCACTCCAGGGATACAAATTCAGGATACGCAGAAGACTGCTGTTTTATTATAGGCGGTTATCATATATTGTATTATCCGAGTTGCGCAGTGTATAAACTGGAACATTGAGATCAAAAATGCCGACGCAGAGTGAGCGATCTGTTTCTTTAGCTATAAACTGTGTCATAGGAATCAAAATGGCCGCGCCCCACATACTTTGATTTTCTTTACTATACGGCGCAAGAGAGAGGTCCGACACGCCCAACATAGGGCCCGGCCATTTTGAACCCTATGCAACAGTTTATAGCTAAAGAATCAGATTGCTCACTCTGCGTCGGCACTTTTGATCTCAGTGTTCCAGTTTATACACTGCGCAACTCGGATAATACAATATATAACAACCGCCTATAATAAAACAGCTGTCTTCTGCGTATCCTAAATTTGTATCCCTGGAGTGGATCTTATTTTGAAACTTTCAACTGATCCGAGTGAGCTAACTGATTCTTTAGCAATAATCTGTGACTCAAAAAATAATATTCACTGACACTGACAGCCGCAAGCAAAATATCAGGTGCGTTTTAATCATCCGCTTCTGCTTCCGGAATTGTCGGTTTAGTCGTTTTAACTTGTCAAATTAAAACAAGAAAACCGACAATACCGAAGCAGAAGCGGATGATTAAAACGCACCTATTAAAAATATTGCGCCAAGATGTAGGCAACACGTAATAAGGGTTCAAAATGGCGGAGTTTTCTATCTCCTTTTAAAAGGCACTCAGAAAGCTGCGCAGTGCGACCATTCTCCGTATAGTAAAAGAAAATCAAAGTATGTGCCGCGCCCTATGTTGGGCGTGTCGGACCTCTCTCTTGCCCCGTATAGTAATCAAAGTATGTGGGTAGGCCGTCAAGAGACAAGCGACCACTGATGCGACCCCAAGGTCGAGTAGGACGACAGATGCACAAATGTTACGCTTGGTGCATTTCGCAAGCTTGAGAAGTGTCGCGCGACAGTTACAGGATAACCATTCGAGGAAACGATCAGCGTTGCCAGACCTACTGTTTTCACGTAGATCCACTGTTTTTGTCTCTAGCAAATTTTGTTCTTAATTTATTAAGTTTGCCTCATTCTTCAGCAAATGGTTAAATAATATTTTCTCTAGTAAATTTTCTGCAGTAAAAGCAGCGTAATAAGCATCCACTACTCTAGGTTGGCTCCATAAAAAAAAACATCAAGATAATCATTGTTTTTATTTAAAATGAAACAAAGAATTAATAGGGCATCATAAAAAGAACATGCGCCCTACGATTTTGAATTATTTGATTCAGACTGATCTAAAAGAAGTAGGTACCTATTATTTTTCATTGTTTTTTTTTTGTTTCCATACGTTAAGTATATATTAAAAATGTTATTATTTGTGTTTATTCTTTGTTTACCTTCTAATTTGGGTCGAAAAAAGTTTATTTTTCGTTTCTTATATACTTGTTTTTTTATTTACTACACTGCAAATTTCAATTATTTCCCCCTGTATTAAAATCTACTGTTCAGATCTACGGTTTTTTTTTACCCATACTGTTCCAAAATCTGGCAACACTGCCTAGATCGAAAGAAATTTTCAACCTATTCACGTCCAAGCGATGAAGCGATGCTCGAGGACAGTGACCTCGAGTGCGACAGGCAGCAAACCTTTGCCCCGAGTCAGATTCAGAAGTGTCTCCAGGAAGTGTCTCGCCGTGCGAAATGTGTTTCATATAATTGTATGTATTTTAGATGTGAAGCGACACTTCTCGGTCGCGTCGGCGGTCGTATGTCGCGTCGGCGGTCGTCTGTCGCGCCTACCGAAATGGTACCTTAACTCTTTTATCTTAAGTCCTCTTTCTACAACAGAATGCCGATGTTCACATATACACCTCGCATTTGGATATTAAATAATATTAAATAAAATAAAGATTTTATTTCCTTATTTACAGATAAAAAATACAGTATGTGTGAACTTAAACTCAGATATATACACAATTATATTAACTTTACAAATTAAATATAAAACACTATTATATGTTTCAGCATACGTGTTGTCTTTAAAATTTGTTTTTCAGGAAAGTTGAAAACTTTTTTCTTTTTATAAAGAAGTATCTTACGTGTTGTTAAACAGATAACTTTTTTATTCTCAATATCCATTTTTCTATTTATTATTTAATACACGATTTACTCGACCAAAGCTTGGGTCTTCTTTCTCCTATGTTAATATTATTATTCATATTGTATCACAAAAATATTCGTTTTCCTATTTTAAAAACGTCACACTCACTCTCTCAGGGAACCAAATAAGGAACTGTCATCAACTCTCTTGTCTATTAGGCAAAAAGCAACCAAGTCGCTCGGATTGCTTCTGCAGGCAGGTTACTTACTTAACCAATTTAGTCGGTTGGTTCATTAGCTAACAAATAACGCTGTGTACCAGAATGTGGCCTGGATCTTTTTTGCAGTAAAGGTTATGGTTCTTTTTTTTATGTCATCGGCATCAACTGCTACGTGTTCTGTGTAGGCTTTGTTACTGTTTCCCAGCGCCACTTTAGGAACAGTACTGTTAATTAGTACCCAACAGTGAATGGTCGAGTGGGGAATCCTACCAAGGCATCAGAATTAATTTTAAATAATTAAATTAAATAAAAAAATTCCGGCCAACGGCGGGATTCGAACCTGAGACCCTTGGATCCGCAAGCAGAGACTCTACCACTGAGCCATCCATCCCATTTATGGTTCTTAAAAAGAAATATTATGCGAAAGTCTAAAAATCATTGTGGGTTGCTTCCTTTCTACAGAAATCCGTCCAATTAGACATCAAGAAGGTCAATTGGTCCTCATATATTTAACCAAGAATACATGATCTTATAACATTGACTACTACTGGGCCGATTCTGCCACAGCTATCGGAAAGACGGCAACACAGTGTGCCGGTCTCCCATTAGAAATACATTGCCTATGCCTGGCCATACTGCATTCTCAGTATTTCCCGAACTATAGTAACGATAATTTCTATATTTGGTATTCCTCTTCCAGATAGAGAGTGGGTTTTAGAACGCCATTTGCCGCGGAAGCCAGGGTTGTCCTCTAGGGAATCTTCCAGCGCCCGTCCTCAGGTTGAGCCTCGTGCTGTTCCTGTTCGGTGACTTCCAATTTAAGTCTCCGATAATGATTCCTTCAACGTTTGGTGGTAGACGTTCTAGTAGGTCTTCGTGGTGCAGTGTAGATGGAGGTCTAACATAGGCTGACGATATCCTTAGATCCCCGTGAGAGGTGCTAATTAATATTATTATGGAAAGGAAACTTTTAATGAAACAACAAACAATTATTTATATGTTTATTATTAGTTAACTTTTGATATATAAATAGTCTTAAACTAATATAAAGGTGCTTAACAAACATGGTTATTATGTAGCAGGCAAGACAGTAAGAATCAACTGTAAAAAAGTATTTCAAATAAAAATTGTTACAACGTATTTTCAAACATTTGTCGATGTTTGTTAGCAACAACATAACGTAAGCAACATCCCTTTTAATGAATAAAAAAAGTTGTAAGTAAATAAATAAGCGATATATAATTAAATGCTGTGTATAAACTTATACTTATAGAAATATAAAAACAGCTGGGCAGATGAAAGTAAAAAATTGTAAAAGAAATATCACTTTTTAATAAATAAAAAAGAGATTATATCTCCGAAATGCTTCTGAAAAATCACAGAGCAAGTTAAGAAGTAAAAAACTTTAAGCAGTTCAACTAATGCTACTTTCTTAAAGATGGCTACCGTTTACTTAATTTCACAGATATATTTACGATGGTAACCTCTAATTTATCTACATTTGTACAAGCACATACACGAAAATAGGCAAATACAAAAAATTATATTTCTTCATTTTTGAAGCGTCTGTGAATTGACTGTACGTAGGTGAATACACATTTCCAATCAGGCCTTCGTAATGCCATCATGTCTTCAACGTCAAGGAGAGGAAAAATATCAGCCTTTTCACTAAAAAAAAAAAGAAAGAATTTATTAGTTGTAGGTACATTTATTTTGCTAGTTTATTCTGATTTAAGAATAGATTGTACTATATTTTAATAAAATTAATGTATGCATTTATTTATTCGATTAATTTATAAAAACAATATTGTTTAAAATAGATAAGTAAAAAATCTAGATAGGCAATCCAGTGAGTAAGGAATGTATTTATTGGTTGCTGATACTGTAGTAGAAACGCCTGGATGGTAATAATAATACTCTCTCTATAATTCACCCCCGCTTACGAGTGAAACCCTGAAGTTCTGAGCAGCTTGTGTGTCATAGAAACAAAATAAAGTAACAGAAACAATATCACTGGAATGAACGTGTTCATCTATACAGATAGCAGACAAGCACTACTCTTCCTAGACAGACAACGAATTTACTCAGCGTTAGTACTAAAATGGCACGAAGCTTTGCCCGAAGTTATCCATTAACAATATGGACACATCAAAAGGTAATCGTCTTGCTGATTCACCAGCCAAGAAGGCAGCCAACCTAATATTTTTTGTCAGCATCAGTAGTGACAAACCTAATCAAAAAAATATTCTCTTGTGAAATTCAAGGAAAGGTGACATTAAATAAGAAGCTGAAGAGTTGCCAGGGAGCTTTTAAGTTACCCTGACACCACAGCAAACAAATACTTGACTATGAACAGATAGAATAAGGTATGTCCCATAATAAACGTCGTACTAGATTGATGTTCCATCACCATGGAACCTAGAAATTCTTCTGCGGAATCATCGAGAGAAACGGGTAAGAACGTTTCTATTATTATTCTTGGTATTATGCTTCCTTTTCTAATGTTCATTCAGTGTTTTCGTTTTCATGTCGTTTGAATTTTGTGGCCGTCTGTTCTTGGTATTTTTTTTTAAGATGTCCATTCAATATTTTCCTCTTCATGTCGTTCGAATTCTTTGTCCGTCAGTTCTTGGTATTTTGTTTTCGTTTCTGGTGTCCATTTAGTGTTTAGTGTATGTTAATGTAATTTTTCAAAATTTTGTTAGCTGCCTCGTATAATTTTTTTCTTAGCAGTTTTCGCCAATTTAGAACGCAACGGCATACGAAGTTTTTGTTATTTATAATTGTAGAAGAAAATTCTTCAAATGTCATGTACATGACTTGTAAAGAGAACAATCGATATTGCGACTCAAATTTTTCTGAAGGTCTAAGCATCAGAACTGCGTAGTTTGCATAGCCATTTTCTTAGGATTAATTTTATTGTCAAGATATGTTCTGTGCAGTAGCTTCACTAGAAACCATACTTTGGACAAAGAGCAAGAGGACGTCTCCAAATGAGAAGAAAAATCCTACTACTGGAATACGTTGGAAATGAACTGCAGAAAATAAGAGAGGCATATGTTTAAAGAAGAAGATACTGGAATGTTTCAATTTCCAGTACCACTTTACTTGTTTTTCAATATTGGAGGTAGCTCTGTATACGAAAGAGGCCCGCGAGAAACATATGCGCACTGGCAAAGTAGACATCGGAGAGGATACCTTACTTCTTCAAAATGTATTTTGATTTTTGTTCTCTATCTGTTGACTTTTTTTCACTTGTATTCAGTCGTATTATACTTTGCTTCATGATATTGATTTTGATTTTGTAGGGTATTACTTATTATTAATTTAACTCTTGTTTTTACCTGGCAACTCTGAAAGCAAGTTCAAAGTTGTGTCTTCTGTCTTTTGGCGTCAAGGCATGATAGTCGAAAGCGTCTGGTAGGAAATGGTGGATGAGGGCGCAAAATGCAAGTCCGTCCGCCCAGCTGCTTGAGAAGTTGTCTAGTTGAACGTTCTGGAAAACATAAATAATTAATTAATGATGTTTCAGTTTCGGATTGCCATTGTTTCATGGTTTTTTTTTGTTTGGCATCAGAATATAATATTCAGTAAACTACAAAAATGTTTCTAAAGTTGACCATGGAAAAATTAACGCATGTCGGAGCGTACAATTCTTCTTGTTAAATGACAGTTTGGATTTAATTTCGGTTATAATTCAGAGGCATGTAATATGTTATTAGTCAACTGGTCTTGTAACTACTTAACTCTGAAACAGTATCGTATACGTAAAATTTACGTACTCATATTTTTGTATATGCAGCATCTGCCATCTTAGATGTTGACTGGTTTGTTAAAAATGTGAAAATAAAAAAAATAAAAATCTTACTATCCCGAAACGCTTTAAAAATCTCAAGGACTTGGAAGTATATTGAGGCACACGTCAAATTTAGATGAACAAGCCAATATGCAAGTAATTTTTATTTTATAAATTTGGTACCGATTTGACCTTCTAGTATGTTTTAATTTTTCAAATTTCAGCTCATGAAAGTTACAAGGAAATATCCAGTTTGTAGCTCCTTCAGCAAGAGACGATTTAATCGTAAAAAATAATTACTATAAGGAAAGCCAAATTCCATCTGGGATTATTTTTTGAATATCATAGAGGAATGCATCAATCAAAATATTTGTTCTTCGAGACATACGTTTAAGCCACGTTAGGTTGACACAACCTTGTCAATCTTCAAGTTTAGCTCAAAATCCTAGATTTCATTTTCCTTTACGCAGGATAGTAGAAGTGCAACCTAAAGTACAGCAATGTCCAAATCCCAAAATTAGCAAAAAAGCATGAAATACAAGAAACATATATGCAACACACAAAAAAACTTATAAGTACCTATTATTTTAAATGTTCCATTATTTAGTATGTGTTTTTGAGCTATTATTTATATAAAATAAACAATTTAACTTGAATTAAATTTTTTATCAACTTATCTATTCATAGTTGAACGTATTCCTTAAGAAATATATGTACGTAAAATGTACGTATCCGTACTGTTGAAATACATTCAACAAAACTGATTCTTGAACAATAACCCCTTCAACGGTTCCTGTAGCTTGTACTTCCTCTGCCGTTAAGGAAGTTATCTAACAGATAAATACGTCATGCTCTTCATTGGTTAAAGTATATTACATCAGAGCCTCAAGCTTGTCCGGTCCTTTTTCATGCTCTGCTTTATTAACAGTGGAGGGCACAACACACGTTTCTTGTTTGAAACGGGATGCTACGCCCGCCATCATGTTAGAAGAGTAATTAAATCAATCAACACGGCTTAGGCTAATAAATTTCCGAGAAAATGTTTGGTAAATAATATAAAAAGTGTATATATACAGGGTGAGTCGGGAGGAGCGCACCAAACTCTAGGAGTATATTATACACGTGAAAATAATGTAAAAAACTCATATGTTCTTATCCGATTTTCATTTGTTTTCAAGTTATGGCGTAATTAGAAATGTTCATCTAGCTTTCCACATCTTTTAGTTATCCACCAAAATTAAGTACTACAATACAAATATTTAAGTCCGGCCCAGAACATCTCCCTACTCCTTCCACCCAGTTTTTCGGTTTTGGCAAAATTCGCGCAGCGACAAATGCTTCCTATGTTACCTCTACCCTTTCTAACCTCTTTGGTTTATATGAACTTTTATTCCTATTTTAGGATGTAGATTACGCTGTTAAAATATGACCGTCTAATTTCGGGACACCCTGTATTGCGCCAAGATGTAGGCAACACGTAATAAGGGTTCAAAATGGCGGAGTTTTCTATCTCCTTTTAAAAGGCACTCAGAAAGCTGCGCAGTGCGACCATTCTCCGTATAGTAAAAGAAAATCAAAGTATGTGGATCGATTAGATTAACGCGGACATGACATGCTCTTTCCTGACTATATATGTTCTAAGGGTTAAAACGACTAAACCCGCAATTCCGGAAGCAGAAGAGGATGATTAAAACGCACCTGATATTTTGGTTGCTGCTGTCAGTGTCAGTGTATATTATTTTTGGAGTCACAGTTTATTGCTAAAGAATCAGTTAGCTCACTCAGACCAGTTGAAAGTTCCAAAATAACATCCACTCCAGGGATACAAATTCAGGATACGCAGAAGACTGCTGTTTTATTATAGGCGGTTATCATATATTGTATTATCCGAGTTGCGCAGTGTATAAACTGGAACATTGAGATCAAAAGTGCCGACGCAGAGTGAGCGATCTGATTATTTAGCTATAAACTGTGGCATAGGAATCAAAATGGCCGCGCCCTATGTTGGGCGTGTTGGACCCTCCGAGCAATTACTACTAGAGGGAGTCTTCCCCCCTTCCCCGCGCTAAATTTTGTTAGCAACATCTACTCCCCCCGAGGGGGAAAATACCTCTTCTGCAATTGGCTTATTTAATTAGCGTTGCCAAGTTTGACCATGTTCTGTGAGTTTGACAGCGCCAGTTCTGACACTTTCTATCACATGTCAATTTCTTATTTGTATTTTACGGAAAATATTATTATTTTATAATGTTGTAAGAGTTGTAAATGTATATTTTAGATTTATTATCTCTAATAATATGGTGAAAACATGCTTTATGTGTAAAAGGCCTGTTGAAAATGCTTCTTCAAGATAATATCACAAGTAAGTACAGACACAACCTAATTATCAGAGGCGGTGCATTAAGCAATCACCTTTAATTTGCAATTAAACTTTCTTATTTTCTTATCGAAAAATTGAAATTAAGAGCAAGTAAACTCCAGCTAAGTTGGTCTTCATTCGTCTCATAATGATTATAGTAAAGGTTAATTACTTACTATTAGTTTAATATTACATCTTTGTAAAGTTTATTGTTATTTTTTTTAGGTTTCCTTTAAGACATCCTAAAATGACTTTTTTCGTTTGATGTGAGATTAATTATTCTACATTTTTGTTGGTGAAATAGGATATATTAAGATGTCTTACTGTTTTCTCTGATTATCTAGAAAGTTAGAACAATATACAAAGACTGTTATAACAAAAAAGAGATATACTTTTACTTAAACACACAATTAGTCAGTTCAATTGTACGATAATTTAAAGCAGAAATCCAGAAAACTTTAAAAATGTGTTTTTACTATAACAAGAACATAATTATTAAAAAAACTTGGCACATTAACATTGACGATAGGTTTTTATAATATACAGGGTGGCTCACGCTCAACGGGACGGAGCTTTATGGGAAAACGACCAAAGATATAAAAAATTCGTTTGGGAGGAATACGTAGGTTACAGACGGCTACAATTTAAAATTTGTTAGATGTATACAGGATGTCCCACATAAGAAAAAAAAATTAGTTCATTAAAAATTATTCAAACAAGAGTAAACAATTAATTTCTGGGAGACTTTTTTTCCTTAAAAATTCAAATAAATCGAAAACTAATAATAATAGTAATAGGGAACCTTTAGTTAACTGACATTATTTTTGATGTAGTTTTTAATTCTAAAATAAAAAACAGGGTGTTCCATTTAAAATAATATAACTTTGTATATTTTATCTTATGTGGGACATCCTGTATACATCTAACAAATTTTAAATTGTAGCCGTCTGTAACCTACGTATTCCTCCCAAATGAATTTTTTATATCTTTGGTCGTTTTCCCATAAAGCTCCGTCCCGTTGAGCGTGAGCCACCCTGTATATTATACAAATCACAACGAACTACACAAAATGACATTATTAATAATTTAGCAATAAAAAAGTTAAGTACAATGATGACATTAAGAGTTGAGTTTCTCGAAATACTTTTTTAAATTGTCTCAGTACCTACCTAGTATTTTTCTAGCACAATGATATATAAATGTGCATTGTGTGATATCTTATATTTTAGGAATAAAATGATATATTTTTTGCAGGTTTCTGTTAACAACGATTCCAAGAACTTTGAAAATATTATTAAAACGGCCTTTGCAAATATAATTCTCAATTAAAAGCTTTTGATCTAACATTAAATTTTTATTATCCATAAGGTTACAGCTTCCTAAGAAGAAAGTTTAACAAGACTTACCAGACCCAAAATATCAAAATTTTACCAACTAATTGATGGTTCTACTGGTTTCCATAGGAAAATTCTCCTCGAAACTACTAAAAGAAAAGTGGCAGAGGCAACCGAAGAACGCAAAAAAGTCTTTTGCAAAACAAAAACTAGAAATTTGTTTAAACTTCCTATTTGTACTTGTATTAATTTATTTCATTTTATTATCTATTTATATATTTTTTATATTCACATAAATGTTTTTTTCATTGAATCAAACGTTTATTAGCTTATTAAATATAATGAATTCATGTTGTTTTATTATATGTTTGTATGATTACTTTTTTTTCCTTCTAAAAATGAATTTCGAAGATAAAGCCGAAACGGTGAGTGAGAATAAAAAATTAGACGAAAGTGGCGATATTTACTGGAGCTTTCATCTACACGTTCCTTTTTCTAGCCATCTACACCTGAGCCAGCAAAATTCGTCTTCCCTCCATCCTTACATTTTCCAGATTTATAGAGAAAACGCCGTCCTCTTTAACATATCCAGACCTCCTTTGACGGGGACTATACCACTACATTATCAGCTTTATTTGTTATCCCAAGCAATTTAAATGCATCGTAATTGCTCATTCTCACCTCTTCTCTTGTAGATTCCGTACTAAGTTTTCTTATTTTTAGTTACGTTTGCACTGCTCTTTTATTTTCACGGCTTTAATTCTATTATGTTACTGTATAATGTAACGCTACAATATGAAACCATTTTTGTGGTTTATACTATTTAATGTTATTCGTAAGTGACCAACCTATTATAATAATTAAAGATTATTGTATTACAGGCCTGAAGATGTTCCTGTAAGGCCGAAACTAGTCGCTCCTGTATTTATTTTTAATAAAATTGATTTTAAGGTTTTATCTTCAATTGAAAAAATTAGACCTCTACAGTGATTTTGTTTCATTTCCTGCATTACACACATATAAGACGGTATTCATTTTAAAAATAGTAAAATTAGCAAATTTTTTAGTTGTTTTTTTTTTAATTAAAACGTTTGGAAAATGTGTGTTTTTATAGATAAATGATACGCCACTGAACAAGAAGGATGTTTACCTTCCCCCTTGTGCCCGCTTCCTCACTTCCTCTACAGATGTTGCTAACACAACAATCGCCTACAAACTCGTTTCCACGCTCCCTCTATATTAGTAATTGCTCGGAGGTTGGACCTCTCTCTTGCACCGTATAGTAATCAAAGTATGTGAGCTAAATGAACAGAAAACAGAAACAAAGTTTTAAAATAAGAGGAAGAAGAAAAATAAGTTTGCTGGAAAATACCCTATTCATGGACCAGGTTTTATATAAAAGAAACTTAATCCGTGATATATCAAATTGTCAAAAACTAATTTTAAAATTACAAAATATTTTTTGCCTTTCAGGTTTTTCAAATTATTCTTGAGATGTCCCATGCTCATACAGATTCTGGTACTGCTTACTTTAAAGCTGCCATACTTCCTGTTGAGACCTGGGTAAAAATTTTGCGGTATTTAGATGGTATTTCACTACTTTCTGCTACGAAGGCATTATCCGAATGGATTGAAATTTGCGAAGGAGATGTAGTTCTACGAAAAAAACTAACATTTGCAAAGATACATCTTGAATCAGGTCTAAAAAAAATGGAGCAGGATCAAAGGATCCTATCAATTTTAAGTGAAGATTATCGAATAAAGAACCTACGACGGGCATTGATATCTAATGGTATTTCTGATGAATATAATTATCGTCCACCACCAAAAATTAAGAAAATATAAAATATATAAGCATAACGTACCTATATTATATTATTGTGTAATACTGTATATTTGGTTGTTTATAATAAGAATAAAGGTAAAAAACACGGATTGTTAGGTAAACTGTAGATGGCTTCTAATTTCTTAATAATTTAATTTTTGTCTATGAATGCTAAAAAAATATTCATATGGATTTTAGTTAATTATGATATACATTAAATTATAGCTATTATTATTGCATTATCCTATTAGTGTGTATTTCCTCGATATTTTATTTAGTGTTCTAGTACTAAAATAAAGTAAAATTCAAATGTTCTATATCAGATAAATATGCCAAGAACATGATTGATATGTTGCTAAATAGGTATATATGTATGTGGACAGCTGCATTACCAGCATTCCAGATCAAGTGACTAAAGAAATTTATGATCGAGACCCGCTCCATAAGGCAAGAAGCCAAGATGGACTTAAAGATACTTCCCATACAGTTCTACCTCTTTTAGGCCCTATTTGGGACACCAGAATAGATAACCTTTCTATTAATGAGGAATTTCTTTAAATTGTCAAGCAATTGTGAAACGAAGTCATAACAAAGAGATTGATGCTATTCTTCGCTCAACGGATTTTCGATTCAGTTAGTTTTACATACACTTTATCTTTGTTCTCTAAACTGTAATTGCAGAACTTTTGAGAGGAATGTCTAAGGATAGTTAAATCAAGAAACCGCTAAAGGTTTTCCAAAAAGGGCTAAAGAACTTCCTGACTTCCTCGATGTAAACAAACTGGTTCTGGTGAAGCTACAACGTTGGAGCTTGCATACATTTTTTGACGCAAGTAAGGAGGCTTATGCAGCAGTAGTTTATTCTTGTTGTCAAAGGTCCAGTTGCTCCATTTAAAAAGATTTCTATAACAAGATTAAAACTCTTGGCAGCCACAATTGCAACCCGACTCAATGACTCGGAGAGAAAACAATTCCCTAACTCGCGGCTAAGTGCAAGTTCTTTCAGGACTCCGAGCCTAAGGTCGGTGACAGTGCTGATTTACCCCAAATAGTACTTTGGTGATAGCGATCTAAATTAGTTAAATACTAGAGACCTGCAAGTTGTTACAATGATGACAGCTGTGGGATTTCAATTAGTTACCCATAATGTTACAGTATATTTATTACAATAATTTATTACTTTTGTTACATAAACTAAATAATACATCGCACGCCTATGAGACAGCACAAAAATAACCGATCTTCTATTATTGTCCTGTTCCTTTCCTCACAGGACTTGGTTGAGACCCACAAGTTTACTTCACTCAATTCTGGTGTTTTTTAAATTGTTATAAATATTAATATTAATTAAAACTTAGAAAAACCCTGTTTAATATTTTATACAGTAAGATGATTGAGTGTTACTCCCTTTGTCAACTCGTTTATTTCAAAGAGTAGAGAAAAATGCTTAGACACGTCGATTTTTAAACTCATCGAAGTATCCGAAGGCTTCAACGTTTCGGCATTCCTATGAACTCCCTTCAGGTGATAGCCACACCCTCATTTTTTTTAATAGCAAAGGGGTATCACCTCGTTTGAAAGGATATGAAACGATTATTTCAAAATGTATTAAAGGTTTATGTTTACAGGGATTCTGAAAAAGTTATAAAATAGTAAAATATATTTTGCTAATTTTGAGATATAAAGTGACATTTTTTGTAATCGCGGCAAGTGTAAAAACTTTATAAAACCAGTTGACGAAAATGTTGATTAAAAATTCTTACGGTTTCGTGGAAGTTACGGCCAAAAACTACAATTGCCTCACATTTCTCAACTAAATTCCAAAGAACCATTAGAAACAACCAAAATGACTAAATTAATACTAAAATAGATTCAGAATATTATATCTTCTCTTTACATAATTAAAGAAATTTATAAAAGTACGTTTTTGGTATTCGTATTTTTTTAATAATAAAATAGTCCATTATTAAAAACAACTTTAATTGGGTTTTAACTCGGGTTTTAAGGACTGTTATCTAATTATTATTTATCATAAACATTCTTAGTTATGAACTACTAGTACAGTATATTTTTGAAATCAGGTTTTCATAAAACCTTTCAAATGAGGCATTCCTTGTCCTCTCTATTGGGTCTTAAAAAAAATAAAAATGGCTGTTATCTGAATGGGGTTTTTATGAATACCGAAACTTTAATACTATCGGGTATTTCAATAATGCGTTTACAAATCGACGTGTTTAGGCGTTTTTGTATACTCTTTAAAATAAACGAGTTGACAAGTTGACTTAATGGTAATGGAGCCAGTGGCATTTTTTTGGTACACAATTTTCGATCATTCTTGTCTTGCAGAAGATGGAAATACTTTGCTGCAGACGCATCAGTGGTGGAAAGTTTGGAAAACTTTTTTATTATTAATTTTAGGAAAAAAAGTTATTCTTCATAAAAAGTTCTGCATTATTTAAAACCTAGAATACAGTCATCAAATATCAATTTTTTTTAGTGGTATACGAGGTTTGTCAAAAAATATGAGTTTTACTCAAGAGTAAATCGAATGACAAAATCGAAAATTTTCATTAAAGAAAGTTGATTAGAATTAAAAATTACATTCAAATATGCAATTACACCGATCTATCTGAAAAACCAGATTTTTTCGAGATTTTCCATTGATCCACCTAATTACGGTAATCCCTAATTTTTTCTCGGTCTTCTATACTACAAACAGGATACGCTTTCCTTTTCTTGATGTTTGTGAAGAATTTAGCAATTTTCTTAATGAACATTTTCGATTTTGTCAAAAATAAACGTACTTTACTCTTGAGCAAAATTCATATTTTTTGACAAACCTCGTATACGGCTTGAAAAATTTGATATCTGATTGGAAGTCCTCAAACAAATCCCGAAAATAACCACTGGGGATTCAAACCCACCAAATTGCGTGACGCTATCATATAGGTCGGTTTCGAAAGTTTAAATTCAAATAAACAATTTGGATGTTGAATCCTTACCCCTATAGCTCAATTGGTACGTAGAAAATCAACTTTTTCATTAAATTTGTTTTCACTTATACTATATACGATGATAAAGGTATACTAATTTTAAGAGAACCAAAAGAAGTTAACGGCAATGCGCACGTAGCTTACACTAGCAGAGAAAACTATTTCGTGCCAAATTGTTTAAAAAATTTCAAGCGCTTTCGGCCTAACGCCATCTTCAGTGCTTATTGTCTGCCACAAGCACATCCAAAAAGTTTAAAGATCATCCTATATCCGAACATTAATTGTTGGAGTGCCCCGCCTTACTAAATAGTCATTATTATTTTATTTAATAAAATTATTTTTGGTTTTTGGCTAGAACCACCCGAAATATGGGAGAACTAAGTCGTTAAATATAAAATAGCTTACATAAATTGGTCAAAAAACTTTTAATTTTAACTAATAAATCAACTTTTTGGCACACAATAAACACCGAAGATAGCGTTATGCCGAAAGCGCTTTGCATTTTTTAAATAAAACAATTTTGCACTAAATACAAGTTTTCTTTGCTAATAATACTAGGTACAAAAAATATTGAGTACAATAATGTTTTCATTAGTTTGTTTTCTTTTAATTCAACAAATAATAAAATGAACAACTGTGTACAAGATTTTTTTTATTATTAAGGATAATACTCACATACCTAGGTACTTTAATTTTTTCTGAACCGTTATCAAAATAGAACAAAATAAATAGCGGAAACATTAATGGATTGCCTAACTGCAGGGATTATGTTATAATAAATATAAGTATTTAAAATAAATGAACAATATACGTATTTTTTTACAATTTTCATATTTCTTCAAAAATTAAAAATTGCTTTTGCAAGGAATTGTACCCATGTCTCAAAAAATCAAAGTTGGGTGAGTAACAACCTGAGCTATAAAGTTTTAGGTCAAATTAATTATCTTATTAAATGTAATGAATGATATTAGTATTTTCTACAACTGCTTTTTTAAGACTTCTTCGTCGAGCGCTCCACCGCTGGTGCATCTGCAGCAAATTATTTTCATCTACTAAAAGACAAAAATAAACAAAAAATTTGGGTCACTGGTTACCGTACCATAATCCTCTCACTGTAAGTATGGACTGCTAGGTTCATTAGCCTTATGTTCTAAGTAGGCTTTGTTTTCTAATTCGTAAATGAACACTGAACAGCATGTTAATGAAATATCATGAAAACGAAAAATATCTGTTAAAAACAAACATATATCTTATAATCCTAAAATGCTGGTTCAAAGAATTTTTAGGCTAAATCGATCCTGTTGTTATTTTTTGTTGTAATGATAAAATGGTTGAATATAAATACTTTCTTCAAAAACAATGCAAACAAAATTTTAAATTTAGAGGCTGTAAAAATGTCAGTACAACAGCCGCGATAACAGGCTAATTCACAAACGCCTTTTTTTGGCAGACCAGCTATTTCTTTTTTTATCATTTTACATCAAATTTTTTTTATAGTTGTTTTATAAGAGTAAAATTTTAATAGGAAATCTTACACTTTTGTTTTTAAAATGGTAATTATCATCAACTAAAACTAACAAGTAAAATACAAAAAATAATTTCAACTTTACAAGCCACTGTTTTTTTTTTTTTTTTTTTTTTTTTTTTTTTTTTTTTTTTTTTTTTGAAACAGAAATTGAACTTGATGTGGCATGTTATTTAAAAAAATGTGTTTGAAGAAAGGCTTTGTGTTATGCAATCAATAGCGTAAATAAAGCTACACTGATAAACAAAAACAAGCAACAGCAGCATTTCAATCTCCAAAAAAGCCAAACCATACCTCATACTCCTTTGTCTTCATTTTACACCAAAACAAAAGACGTTCTTTGATGGTGCTCGCGGATTGGCTGACTGCAGGGTCGGTAAATTTAAAAAGGGGGCCATTTCCAGGAGTCTTTGGGGAACCCGGGGTACTGCAGACCAAGCGAGAGAGAGGATATTAAAAGAGAGTCAAAAATCAAGCAACAAGCAAGTATGTATAGTAGGAGTAATACGTACATTTGGAAATCAAACAATAAATAATTAAAGGATGTTTTGTAAACTTTTGTTTGGCAATTCTCAGTAAGAGAATTAATATTTATTAATATTATTTTTCTATTATATCTAAGTAAAGTATAGGTACTTATATTTCTTAAATTCTCTAAAATATTATTCTTCCGTGATTAGAACTATATAAATTTTTGAAGAATCTTAGCTTTGTCAAATTAAAAACAAATTTATTTTTTTGTAAAATCTTGGTACAAATTCTCAAATTCCATTTTTTTTTAAATTTGGTAACTTGGCAAAGTCATATAACTACTTGTCATTTGTGCGCATTTGAATTTTTCGATCTAAACGGTACAGACAACAAGAGTTGGAAACGACTTTAAAAAAATCAATCATTAATTTCACTTGTTAATGTCATATTTCCAACTCGAGAGAAGTCTACAGAACACCGAGTTCTGTAGAACAATGTGCCTGATATTGTAAATATATTCTATATGTAATAAGGTTTGGTCACAAAACAGATTCAAGCAAACGACCTGTATTTTGTCCATCTGCACCATTTTATTAGTTAGAACATTTAAAAAAATTACGAGTTCATTTGAAATAGTAGCAACTGAATGCTAATTTTCATTCAACCATTAATCCATTTCATTGAGTCATTCTATTTAATTTGTTCACGAATGCAGTACTTTTAGAGAAAAACTAAAAATGATAATTCACCCCCTCACGAGTGAATTTCAACCCCTGAAGTCGACTGAGCGACTTTTGTAGGGGAAGGGACGGATGTTATTATTTGCCGTAGCGTTCCGGGGCGATCTAAAGATGATTGATGGTGCCATTTGACTTACAGGTGAGGAAAACCCGGAAAATTTCACCCACTGTCATCGAGATGGTAATGCATGGAGATTTTATAATCTGCATGTCATATCAACAGAAATTCTATAACGAACCATGCAATTTAATTAAAATGGTCTGGTGTAGGATTCGAAGCCGTTCTGTCTCTGACGACAAACTTAGCTATAAATGAATATAAGCGCGTGAGACGGCTACGCCACTGACCCAATGTGTGAGTACTTAAGGTAAAGGATCCAAATATTTTTACATGAGCAAGGGTAAAGGGAGCAAATATTTTTAGATGGATAGGCTTAAGGATTAAAGGGACCAAATATTTTTACGTGGACAGATTCAAGGGGTTAAGGGGTCAAGGACCCATATATTTTCATACGGGCTGGCTTGAGGTGTGAAGGTTTCTAAATATAAAAAATCCTAACTTAAAAACAAAAAACGATATCCACTTGAACTCTTTAGCAAAAATCAAGCTCTATAAGGAGACAATTTTGAAAAATCTGATTAAAACTTGGGGGTTAAGGGAGGTTGAAATTAAAAAAAAAAATCATAAATGAAAAACGAAAAGGGATATCAACATGAAATTTTTAGTAAAAATCAAGCTCTATAAGAAGATGAAGTCTATTTATTCAGAAAAAAAGATCTCTGAATAAATTGGGGAGGTTAAGGGGGTTAAAATATTAAAACTCAAAAATGAAAACAACTTGAAATTTTAAGAAAAAATCAAGCTCTATAAGGAGAAGCAATTTGATTTTGAAAATGGGAGGTTTAAGGGGGGTTGAAATTAAAAAAAAAATCATAAATCAAACACAAAAAACTATATTAACATGAAATATTTAGTAAAAATAAAGCAAGGAGATGAAGATTATTTATTCTAAAAAAAAAAAAAAATTGAATAAAAATGGGTGATTAAAATATTTAAAAAAATCCTAAATCGGAAACAAAAAAAAAAACGATATAAAATTGAAATATTCAGTAAAAATCAAGCTTATAAGGAGATGAAGCCTATTAATTCCGAGAAAAGAACTGATTGAAAATGGGGTTAAGCGGGTCTGTTAAACTATAAAGAGTATAATACGAGTATATAATGCCAAGCCAAGCCAAGCTATTTTCTTGGGGTTTAGGTAGACATACATGGAGGGGTCCCGGTCCAGTGCAAAATTTTCAAATCCATACATTAGGTATGGGAATGTATCAAAGGTTGTATATTTTTTCTCTTGCTTGGGTTTATGAAAAAAGGGGATGGTTTTTGATTTAAATTGACGAAATACTTTTTACTATGTGATGGTTTGTTACTTTACATAAAATGGTGATTTTATTAGATGACGTTGACAGTCGTCATGTGTCGCGATTCTGGCGATTTAGGTCGATTTTCTAGTTTATAACAATTTTGTGAATTTTTTTTGGTAATTTTTTAATAATACAAAGTTTATACCAACATGCCACGTAAGTACTGCATTGGTACATTTTTCGTTTTCGAATTTTTGCATATTTTAAAGTTGTAGAATATTTTTGTGAGTCTAATTTTAAATTAAGTAGCTGAGCCGTAAAAAATCAAATGAATAAAGTATAGCAACTATCCCCGCTCTTGCTAATCTTTTAAGAAACATTGATCTTTTTTTTTTAATTAACCTAGCACCCCGTCAGTGATATCTTTGAGTGGACACGCACGGTTAAACATTTAACAAATAACTAGTAATGCTGAATTAATCTGTATGAAAAATCTAATTCTGTAATTTTTCCAAATGTACATATTAGTGGGTTTAAATAATTGTGCAATAGGTTTCATACATTAGTGACAAATTATTTTTTTAGCACTGCTAAATCCAGTTATATCCAAAAATGTAAATACTTTCTTTAATAATTTTAAATTTGGATTTTAGCAATTATTTTACTCTTTAATCTGTCACTATAAGAAAGGTACTGTGGTGTTAGAATGGTAGTGTAGTTATGTTAAAAAAATATAGACACAAGATGCATGTTTGAAATCTTTGTTAATTTAGACAATTCAGAATTTTAGTTTAAAAATTAAAAATTAATCATTCGGTGATAAAAATAGAAGAAATATAAAAAATTATTTTTTTATTTTTATTTACATTTAATTAATTAAATATGTTTGTTAGTTTAATCAATTTGTGTACGTGGAAATAATTGAAAATAAACTGAATCGGTGAATACACTTACCTTGGAGGAGTATTGAGACTGTTTTGTTTGTCCAGTTGACGAAATTTGGCAAAAGGTGACAGAGGTTTTTTGGTGATCTGTTGTTGAGTGGTAACTTTTGTCACTAAAATCAAATCAAAAATAGAATGTAAGGACATTTTTAATAATAATTGGGATATGAAAATTAATAAAAAATAAATAACGCATTTACATAAACTAATTATATTTCATAGATCGTTTTAATCTGCCTCAAATAAGTGGCTTATGGAGAGTCACTAATAATTGTGATATTTATGAATTTATGTCATATTGTACAATACGAATTTGCTCCTTACAAACATATTCCTCAAAGGAAATTAGATATACTTTCTGTTTAGGTACAACTTTTTACTTTCCTGTCTGTATACAAATAAGGAAAGTATAGGATTCATGATTTTCTTCGACATCGAGTTTTTGACGGAGTTTTACGTTTAGGAGTCCCCGGTTCCCTGAATCTGTTTTGACTATTTTCGCAATGATGTCTTTGTGTGTGTGTTTTTTAAATTTTAAACTTAAGCCTTATTCCGACCTGTGGTGAGCTGATTAGATTTTGGGCAGAGTCGGAACATCTGGAGGGGTACCAACTTTATAGATGTAATTTTGATATTTTATGGAATATATCTGTTATTTACGTTTGGAGAAGAATATTCTTTAAATAAAAATTACTTTTTATATTATTATCTATAATTTTTGTCCCATACAAAATTTTCTTAAAATGGTCCGTATTCGAGAAATTTGACCAAATGTAAAAATCGAATTACGAAGAAAACTCAAGAACGGATGAATAGAAAACACCATATTTTAAATTATTTTAGCCTTTAATCAATCCTGCAGTAGTAAAGTAATTAAATTTTTGGGCATGATCGGTATATCTGGGGGTACTTTATAACAGTTTGTTTTTCTACTTTATGGAATATATCTGTTATTTACGCTTACAGATGAAAATTCTTTAAATAAAAGTTACTTATTATGTTATTTTCTATAATTTTTGTCATGTAAATAATTATCTTAAAATGGTGTGTATTCCAGAAATTTGACAAAAAGTGCAAAATTCTAATTTTTAAGAAAATTGTTTGAGGGAAAGTATAAAATAATATTTTTCATTATAAATGTATATATTTAGTTCATCCTCTAAACATTTACAATAGGTTGTACAAAATAACCGGAAAAAGCCTGCAATAACTAGACAGGAAAGACACATCAGATTTTTATTTTTGACCTTATTAACGGAGCTTTGCTAAAACTCTTGTTCAGAGTAGGAGCGGTGCGCGTCGCGATGCTATAGCGTTGCGTCTAACAACGGATTTATATTTCAGAGCATCGCATCGCTAGTCGCTCTCGCTCTGAACGTTTCTGTTTGATAATATTAGGTTCAGTGTTGCCGCAACCAAATATGTTGATGTACCAAAAAAATTTGCCAAAATGTACCCAAGTGTACCCAATTCTGAATATGTACAAAATTCATATATAAATGCCTTTTGCTTTCAAAAAACTAGATACAATAAAATAAATATTACATAATATAATAAAATTGCTTTTAATAAGAAGAATTTATTCAGTGTGTCCAATTAAGTTGGAACCATATGGGAAACTTTTTTTTCTTAGTTTTATGAAAAAAGTCATTCTTTATAAAAAGTTCTGCAGGGCCCAAAACTTAAAATGCAACCATCAGATATAATTTTTTTAAGCCGTATACGAGGTTTGTCAAAAAATATGAATATGAAGAGTAAAGTACCTTTATTTTTAACAAACCTCATATACGACTTATAAAATTTTATATTTAATGGTTGTATTTTAGGTTTTAGTCCATGCTCGACTTTTTATGCTGAATGCATTTTTTTTGTGATAAAACTAATAATAAAAAAGTTTCTCAGGGGGCGGGTTGGCTCAGTGGTTAGAGTCATGACTCTGAGATCGGAAGGTCTCAGGATCGAATCCCATCGGTGGCAGGGATTTTTATTTAATTAAAAAAAAATTAAATATTAATTCTAATGCCTAGGTAGGATTCCCCACTCGATCATTCACTGTTGGGTTCTAATTAACAGTGCTGTTCCTAAAGTGGCGCTGGGAAACAGTAACAAAGCCTACACAGAACACGAGGCTAATGGCCGTAGTAGTCGACGCCGATGACACCAAATGAAAAAAAAAAAAAAGTTTCTCATATGCTACCAACTGTCTACGTAAGTTGGCGGCTTATGCACATTTGAACAGTGACCCTAATAGTCAAAATATTTTACCGATATTCTATGTTCTTTTATGGCTTTTTCATTACCGTAAAGTAATAAAATCAACTATACCATTAATTTAAAAAGCTTGCTTAAATATAAAATATAAATTTGAAATAAGGGTATTGTTTGTTAAATATTCATTAAGTTTGAACATAGGAAATTTATTTTTCCAAAATGTACCCAATTTAAGATTATCTGTCCTAAAATGTACTTGTGTACCATACGCTAGAAAATGTACCCAAACGGAAACGTTGATTAGGTTGTTTTACCGACGACGCGTCACTCGACGCAACGCTATCGTATTGCGACGTGCGACGCTCCTACTCTGAAGAAGGCTTTATAGACTAGCCGGTATTGACAGATTTTGTACAACGTTTTTTAATGTATGCATCTTTTAAGTTATGATTATTATAGGTTTTTAACATGTTCTAGCCAATTATCTAAGAGTGCTCGCATGCAGCGGCGTCACCAAACAAATTTGAGTTTGTATTGAAAATGGATTGTTCCGAACGATAGATAAATGCATGCAAATCGTTTTTTGTTAATATTTGAAGAAAATAATCTGCATACACCTTCTTCGTGTAGTACGTTCCGAAATTGTTAATTGAACAAATGAACATGTAAAAAAAAGAAGAGGTATTGAAGAACAATTATTAAACGTATGCTTTTCACAGTATTATTTTTGTTGTTAAATAGACCAAGAGAAGCTACTTTGCATACAATCGTGGCGTGCACATGCGTTGTGGTTTTTTAAACGTACTTTTTTTGTTATCCTCGGAACAATTATTTAATATATACAATTGGAGTATGTGATAAATATGCGCGAAAAAAAATTGCATGTATTCTTCAAATAAAACAATCCTATTTTCAACTTAATTTCTCTAAAAATAAAAATGTTTTGTTCCCTTATTTTCATCTGTAGCTCTAGGTTTAAAATATCTTGCTAATTACAAGTAAATCTCAAGGACTGTAACAGAGAGGCGTCTTGAATTAATTACGAATCAAAGAGCCAACTTTATAACAATTACAAGCAAAAGAGGAAAGGAAATGCCTAAAATTTTTGTCAACCCATTTTTTAGAAATAATGGACGTCATAAGTAATATAAGCCATCGGTATAAGGAATGACAAAAAAATAAAATTAAAGAAAATTTTTATGAATTAGTGGTATAATATACCTACATACCTATTCCATTAACAAAATTGAGAAAATCGTATCCTCGCGTTTTGGCACACCCTATATACCACATAGCAAACGAAGTCTATTTAAATTCTTTGACAATGTGGAAACAATCAAATATATGTAACTACCTACAGGGTGTTTTTCTTTAAAAATGTATAAGTTTGTTCAGCCCCTTGTTTGGTCCCAGTATATTTCAGAATACAGTTCATCAAATTTCTAAAGGCTTTCGACGGCTAGACAGAGAAAGCACTACTGACAGGCATCCCGACGGATTTACGCAATGAAAGTACACTCTGCGCATCAAGTATTTCACTATTTCATTCAGACGTAAATGTCAGATGTAAATTTCGCTAAAACATTTTTTTTATTTTCGTTTGTGTTTTTTGCTCATTACAGTTTAATAGAACCTAAGTATGAAGTTTAATAGCAAATTAAGAGGCCGCGTGATTAACAGTCAATCTCGCTAAATAATAGCCAATGTTATAGAGTTTATGAGAAGAGAAGGAAACTTTAATTCACCTTCAATACCATTTAAAAATGTAAATGATCGTGTTGCTGCAGCCACAGGAGTATCTAAAAACACTCTCGTCCGCATTTCTGGAGAGAAAAAAAGAATCGATAACCGTGAGATATCGGAATTTTCATCACCAAGAAAAACCATTAAAAAACCACAAACAGTTAATGATATAGATGAAGCTGCACAAGAATCAAATTTTATTTTTTTATTATTAGATAGCTATTTTTGTTTCTGAGTTGTGTTCATTTACAGGCTCAATTTTTTTCCGTTTCTCCTTTTTGATTTTATATGGGGTTTCAAGTTGTTTTTGACTTATTTCGACGTAAATCACAACAACACACTTTTTTAATAAAGCAAACAAGTGTTAAGAGGTATATGTACGTGTAAACTACAATTACAAAAAATTGATATGAAACCCATGAAACCACCAACAAAAATGTAAAGCTAGCTTTCGTACTAGAACATGGTGTCATTCGTCGAGATAATTTATCGTTTTGTTTAATAGATCAAGAAATGTAAATATTCCCCTGTTATTTTTTATAAAATTATAAGAGAAATAAATTTTTTTTAAATAGTATAGTTTATTATTTTGTAGAAAAACAAAATTTCGAAAATTTTAGTAATGTTTCAGAAACAACCGTTATTAATAATAGGTACCATTTTCCTTAATAAGGTAGAAATAAAATATAAACTATTTCCACGATTTACAAAGGCCTACAAAAAATTATAGGTATTTTCCGCTATCCTATAAAATTTATATTTTCTGACTCAATTTCAAAAGGTTGAAGGAATTCCAAAACACCTTTTATGGCATAATAATTATTTTCAATTCTACATACTATCTTTAGCTGCTTTTAAAAACGTTCTAAGAAAGTCCAATCAGACCAATTTAATCCCTAAACTATTCCACACTTTTAAAATTTAATTACCTAAAAATATTAAAAAATAACTTGTTTAGCAGACTGTACAATAGCTATCTTAGTCACACGTAGCGCGTTCTCTGTCTGGGCGTCGAACACCTCTAGAAATTTGATGAACTGTAATTATTAAATACAACTTTTGTATTAAACATTTCTTCGTATTTTCAATAATAAAACAGGTATCGATCAATTAGGCACTGATGGGATACACTGTACGTGTTGATTTTGTTGGATAAGAA